GCGCATAACTTCCTTGTCCTCGATATCGGCCTGGCGTGTGCGCTCCGCCTCGCCCTCGAGGAATTTCTCGCGCTGAGTGTTGGCGTCGCCGCGGGCCTTGAACGTATCTTCGTCTTCCATTTCGTACACCTCGTGTGCATTGCCCTCGTCGTCGTAGACCAATTTTGTGCCCTTGCCCTTGAACTTGAGGAGCTTTTTTTTCGACTTGAGCAGCTTTTCGCGTCGTTTCGAGTCGATGAGTAGGGGATCCTGACCGTCCAAGTGCACCATCTTGACGCCATTGGCGTCTTTAGTCTTTGGCTCGGCGTCGGAATCCTCCGAGTCGGAAGAATCGCTCTTCTCGCCGAGTTCTGCATCGCCTGCAGCGAAGCGGCGCTTGACTGAGAGGAAATCGGCATCCTCGTCGGCCTCGTCGTTGATCTCCGCACCGGCATCCTTGGGGGCATCGGTAGCCACCATGGTGCCATCGTCGTTGATGAGCTTGGAGTAGTGCTCTGCCAGTACGCCCTGGTTGCGTCGCTCGAACATACGGTCGTACCGTGTTCGCACCTCTTTCTCATCCTTCTTCTTCTCTGCCTCTGAGTCATCATCGCCGGACATGTGTGCCATTCTCCAGGATTCGTTCTTGCGCTCTTTCGCATCGTCGCCCTTGATGAACTTAATACGTGGAGCACCGGGAAGACCCAGACTGGCTGCATATTCTTCCAACGGAAGCTCCTTGATCTTAAAGGTCTCCTTGTCCTTTTGCACGTAAATCGACTTGACGTAGGAGATGAAAGCTTTCTGGCCCAGATACTTCAACTCCGGATCCTTGAAACACATGTTTTGCAGCTGATTCTTGACACTCTGTTGCTTGTTCGATTTGATGTTGATCTTCTCAATGGGAACTTTCTTGTGCTCAAGCTGCTTAAGGAACCCTTTCTCCTCGCTAGGGTCTAGGAAGAGTACAGCACGGCCAACACGCTCGTAACGGGCCGTCCGTCCGACACGATGAATATAGGTATCAGCGTCTTCAGGACAATCCATTTGAATGACCCAATCGACAGCGGGGAAATCCAGACCACGAGCAACAACATCAGTAGCGAAAAGAACGGCGTGTTGAGCCTGAGAGAACTTTGTGGTGATATCCAATCGTCCTCCCTGTTTCTGTCGCCCGTGCAAATGGAGCAAGGAAATCCCAGGCTGCAACTGCCTTAGTGATTCGTATACAAAGCGAACTTGCTTGCCCGATGACAAGAAGACCACTGTCTTAGATTTGAGGTTGCTGCGGATGAAACTCCAAAGGGTATCAAGCTTCTGTGGGAGTGGAGTAACGGTGTAGTGTTGTTGGAGAGTTGAGGGAGTGGCGGAGGCGGCTGCTTCGTGAACCGAGACGTACTCGGGTTCCTGCAGACTCAAACGAGCCAAATCACTGACCTTCTTGGTCTGTGTGGCACTGAACAGCATAGTCTGGCGCTGTTTTGGGAGGTGGTCAAGGATAGCATCCACGGTCTTCTGGAAACCCATATCCATGATACGATCGGCTTCGTCCAGCACCAGCATCTGCAGGTTATTCGTCTCAAACATAGCTGTCTGATCCAGATGCTGCAACATTCGACCAGGTGTACAAACCAGGATATTCATACGTCCCAGACGATCTTGTTCCTCGCGCAGACTCTTTCCACCGATAACCAATCCAGCAGAGAAATTGTGGTATCTTCCGATCTTGCGAAGCACCTCAAAGATTTGAATCGCTAGTTCACGAGTTGGTGAAAGAACAAGTGCGCCAAGACCATCCAACTCAGTCCACTTCTTGCGATACAGATTCTCGAGAATGGGTACTAGAAAAGCGAGGGTCTTTCCACTACCGGTTTTGGCGGCACCGAGGATATCGCGACCCTTGAATGCATGGTTGATAGCACGCGATTGAATGTCGGTAAGGGTTTTGAAATGGGAGGCTGCGAGACCTTTGGCTGTTGGTTCGGAGAGTGGGAGATCGGAGAAGTTTTTGACGGGAGCTTTGAGATCGAGGTCCTCTACCTGCTTGACGAGGGTAGCTAAACTATCCTCACCACGCTTTCTTTTCAAGACCCTCCCTGTGTCCTGGTGAGTCTTTGACTTCCCTTTAACTGCTCGCGGCGCCATGATGTGGTTTGAGTTGAATCTTGAAAGTTAGCGGGCGGTGAAAACATCTTTTTTTTCTTCTTCGGGAACGAAAAACGAAGGCGGTAGGGAAAGCGGTGAGGAACCAACCAAGGTCCTTGACCTATGCGCGCGTTGTGCTGACTCAGCGAACGATAAGGCCGCAGTCTTATCTTGTTTCAGGTCTGAGCCTCAAGAGCGCCAGGAACGATTCTATATCAAAAGATTCCGTGGCAGATATGTCGGACGACGACCAGGATTTCCTCGAATCTCTTGAGAAAGAGGCCTCCGAGTATAGCAAGGTATTTCACCTCTACAAGGTATATATCTATACTCCGACTGACACGCGACACAGGATGTCGAGATCGACCGCATTCGCAAGGCATTCAGCCTCGATTCGTAAGTCCAATCCGCCTTTAGCCATTCATTAAATTCCTGACACTTTTCATCTTCTTTATATATTAACCCATTACAGCTACGCCGTCCTGGATCTCCAACCTGGTGTTACAGAAAAAGACATCAAGGTCCAATACCGGAAGATCTCACTGCTGATCCACCCAGACAAGACCAAGAACCCCGCTGCTCCAGATGCATTTGATCGACTCAAGAAAGCACAGACCGCTCTTCTAGATGAGAAGCAACGCGAATACCTGGACGAATGTATCTCCGACGCGCGCCGCCTGTTGATCCGCGAACACAAGTACACACTCGACTCCCCCGAGCTGAAGACCGAAGAGTTTAAGGTCGAGTGGCGGAAGAAGACGGTTTCAGTACTATTGGAAGAAGAAGCGCGACGCCGGCGACAGCTCAAGGCGCGCTTGCAGGAGGAAGGTCGTGAGCAACGCAAGGAAGAGGAAGAGCTTGAGGCGCGCAAGCGGAAGCGTGACAATGACAAGAAGTGGGAGGATACACGGGAAGAGCGCATTGGTAGCTGGCGGGATTTCCAGAAGGGGCGCAAACCTGGTGGTGACGAGAAGAAGAAAAAGAAGAAGATGAAGGTGTTGGGCTGATTTAACTTTTCTTTTCTTTCCCCTTCTGAGCGTTGCTGGCGTTTGGGGATCTGCTTGTATAAATATGCTAGGTTTTCTTCTATTCTTTATTCCTTTAAGGAGATTAGTAAGAGGAGTAGTAATAAGAGAGAATCGAGGTAACGTATTTCACGGGCGAGCCGGCCACACAGGCGAACCGGCCACCCACCCAATTGCATTAATTTTAAATTTAAATATCTCAACGAAAACTCCATTAAATTAAATACACCAAAATGATCTATCTAGCAGGGCATCTATTAAATCTATGCCCGGTTTCTCTGCAACCACTACCCCTTGATGTAGCCCGTATACGTGGTTCTAAAGCCGGTGCCTTGTGAATACCGGCATCGGGGGGAGGTGCTCCATCTACTATCACTGGCCGAGAAATCAACTAAGAGGCCTTTTTCAGTAGGGATCTGCCTTTGAGATCGAGTACGCTTTTACTTCTGCTTCTCATTGGCGGCGCGTGATTCCTTAACTTCTTAGGCGAGTAAGATAGCACCTTGCATTATAAGACGGAAGCCTTTTACAAGCTGGTTTAATGCACGATCTAATAGGCTAGGCGGGCTTCGAGATCTTATACGAAGTAAAGCTTTAGTCGACGAAGCCTGCCGACGTAGATCTTTCTCTGTAAATAGAGTTCTTGGGGGTAAAATTCCGGCTTAATTCGCTCCCCCGGCTTAGAGGGGGGGTAGGTGTTCGAAGTCGAATATTTAGCTTTGAAATCACTCGGTTAGGTACAAATAGTACTAAACCAGCTGATCCGAAGCTGTTTTTGAGTGCCCGTCTATAACGCCCACGGCCCACGGGCATGCCTATCCCGGGTATACCCACTATGCCCACTGTTATATAAAGTCACCTAAAATGGACGTATAACTCGCTGACTTTATATAAAAAAAAACTGTTTATGCCTATTTTGCCAACCCTATATAAAATCGCGGTTTTAATCTATAGTATGTGTCACGGTGCGAACCGTGATGCTTAGTAAGAGGAAGATCACCGCACGTGATCTCCGACCTGTTTATCTTGAACTTCAGTTCTAGATCCTGTTGTAGCTCTTCGAGCTACGTCTTGTATAATAGCCTGCCCCTGCCTGTACCTGTCAATGGGAATCTGATCTGTTATGACCTGTTCCTACCAGTCATCTCCTATCATACCGTCCTGCCAGCCCGCACCCTGACAGTATGTATAAAATTTACTGAAATATCTAAGTATTTAAGAAACTTGTAAATATATATCGACTTAGAATATATTTTAAATCAAAATATACAATGTTGTGTAGTGTTTTTAATAACTTGTTAAATTGTACTATAATAGTTTAAAGATATTGTTGAACGAAATACAGCGTACTTTTCCACTAGACCATAACAAAAACCAAGGTGCCTGTTTATGGCCTAGGGAGGCCGTATTTGAGGTTTGACAGATATATTTAAGTTAGTGGTAAATCCTACTATTTTCTATAAGTAAAATACTACTTATGGATTCTACTTCACCTCTCTCACTCTAGTATATTTCTTATAGAGAATTAGAATAATAATTATTTTTATATCACTAAATGTTGGATGCCTCAGGCATCACATGTCATGTAAGCGTCTTACGGAGTTCTCTACTGACTGCGGCTATGATTTGCATTATGAGCATTTAGCACTGTGCCACATAGCTGTGCCTATGCAACTACAACTTACGCTAGGGTCAAACAATATAGAGGTATCAGAAGACAGCAATGTATTGTTGACATGCCCCTCCCAGAGGAAGAGCCCGAGCAAGGAGAGCAGGAAATCCTTGAAGTGGAGCATGGCCATGCAGATGTTGAAGGTATGAAAACACCAAACCTGGTAGCATTTGACAACAATGGAAGTGGTACTAAAATGGACAAAAGAATCAACCAATATTGCCACACCTCAACAACGGAGTGGAAATCTGACAGAAACCGCCTTGGAGGTTTCTAAAAATAACCTCACTCCTTCGACTTCAGTTTCTTCACACGCTCTTGTGAGGGGTTTTTCAATACTCTTGGATATTCAATATCCATTCAAAAGGCCTATGGGCGCTCTGAGATATATAGAAAGTCCAACCCGTCAAAATATTCAACGGGTTGTGGCGCAGGTTTTGTCTATAAGTGAGATCCCGGGTAACCCAATCTGGCCCATGAAATCTCTGAGCGTTCGGAAAGGGAACACTGTGTATGATGTCCTGGGCTACCCACAGGATGACATCGGGAGCTTACTCGAGGATGTTCTTGAGTCCGAAAAGCTCATCAAGATTGAGTGTGTTTATTAGTATGTAAGATCCATGCATCTGTTTCAGGCATCGGATTGAAGTTGGTTGGCAGAATGGAGTGAGAGCTTGCCCAATTCTAGTGGTGATCACCAGCTCTGTTGTGTTTAATCTTATTGCATTTCCCTGGAAAGTTCTAGTTCGTTGGATCTCGAATACAGTTACGACTCAGGAGACAAGGGACTATATTAAAAATATGGTATTGAGGTCGTTGCATGAATTGATATTCCGTGATTTCCCCCTAACATGATCCAGCGTGGCTCGGCAGTGGGGCCGGGGAATCTCCCGGAGAGTGTAGGCGGTTGCACCAGTTTCGGGACGTACTGTTTATGCGCCAAATTTACACAGAATGGGAGATACAAAAAACAAGCTCCAGTACTCTAGGCGGCGGTCCCAAGCCTCATAGATATGTACTATATTTCTCACTCTCAACGTAACGTGGCCACCATTACATGTATTCCAAGCATCAACCTAAATGATTCACTCATCCGACGACTTGTTCCCTCTTTCCTGATATAGAATATGACCAGTATACTGTCCCTGTTCATCGTAGTAGATATGAGCTGTTTGAGCCTTGTTGTTTTTGAATTGTTCCTCGGTTGCAAACAAAGCTGTGGCGTGCGAAGTGAGATCGGTATGGCTCGTGTGCGATGGATTCCTGCAATGGTAAGATTTTTGGAAGATAGCAACTTCTGTTGCACATAATATATAGATTGGATTTACTTGAGGATGGCGATAGTGAAGTGGGCTAGGTCAGGCTTCTGAGAAGCCTCTTCGATGAGACTTAGGGTGAGATTACGCAGAGTAGGATTGCGGATTCTCTGTGTGAGCTTTACAGCATGCCGAGGAATAGGAGACATAGTCAATCAGTGGGCTCCAAGTTTCGTTTAGATAAAGGTAGTTTTGAGAGAATAGCAACGAGTAGTAATTTTTTTAGACGTAGACACGGCTTAGGAGAGAAGTAGGATGTTCGTTTATATGTTCTTCTTAAGATGGTGTAACTCTGCTTTTGGACAGCCATGTTGCATGAGGTTTTTTTAGATCTGACAATGTGCTCCAATGAGTAGTAGTAGTGTGATATTGTGAGGATGCATAAGCGCCCGATTATTTATTTTGGTCGTGTACCAGCGACCAATCATTTGCCGCCGGGAAGTTACTGGGCTTTTTTTAGACCATGTTATTGGCTGTTGTATGCAGGTTGTTGCCACATCATCATTTTCCCGGGCGCGTAGGACATCCGATCACATAATCTGGACTGATTAACCACAATGCCCAACACAATGCGCACGGAAAACTGCGGTTTTATCTAATGGCTATCCCATGCATAAAATTGAGCCGTACTATCCCCTTGAGAAGCATCTCACCGCTTTGCATTACCACCAGGACAATGTCTACCCATCCAAACAGGAGTCAGATGGACCAGCACCTCTATATTTCTACCATTGACGCTGAGCCACTTCATCGCTATCGACAAGGCGGTTACCACCCAGTCACTTTGTGGGAATGCTTGAAAGCTGGAAGGTATAAGGTGTTACATAAACTAGGGTGGGGAGGCTACTCGACAGTTTGGGCGGCGAGAGATCAAAGGTTGTACAAGCTGGTGTGGCTCGCGGTAGTTCTAGCTAACGGAAAAGCTGCTTGTTTACAGGGAACAGACGTATGTTGCTGTCAAAATTTCTGTTGCAGAAACTGAATATAATGGGGACACACGAGAGCTCCAAACTTTGAAAGTGCTTGCATCTCATCACCCTCGTCCGAAGCATACGGTACACATGCTCGATGACTTCGATCTAAAGGGCTCAAATGGATCTCATAAATGCCTAGTTTATGAGCTTCTAGGTCCCAACGTTCCAGATATAATTGATGCAAATTTTTCAGATGGAAGACTTCCTGGCAAGCTCGCCAAAATCATTGCAAAGCAATGTTTGATCGGACTCGATAGTTTGCACCAACGAAAGATTGGGCATGGAGGTAAATCACTTTCTTGGAAATACTTTGGACAGTGCTCACCTGGTATAGATCTGCATACCCGCAATTTGGCCTTCGCTATGCCTTACATAGACGATTTAACAGAAGAACGGTTTATCGAGATGCTAGGAAAACCAGAAGTTGGCTATGTCCAAAAACGCGACGGGAAATGCCTGGAAGCCGGCGTGCCCGAATATGTTGTGAAACCTGCCTCATACGAGAATCACTCTTGGAATCTGGCTCAGGATGTCAAAATAATCGACTTCGGAGAGTCATTCTTGCACACTGCTCCCCCTAAAACACTACACACACCTTTATCTCTTCGGGCACCGGAAGTTATATTTCAAGATCACATTGATTATCGTGTTGATTTGTGGAGCATGGGCTGCATGGTGGGTGAAATCATACTCGGGTAATCCATAAAACCCCAAGCTAATAGGTTGGCAGCTCTTTGAACTGTTCGTGGGCCAGCCACCTTTCGACACATTCTTAATAACACCCACAATCCTTGTTGGCCAAATGCGAGAGATGGCAACTGATGAAATACCTGAAAGATGGCAAGATAAATGGAATACGATGAACACAGGGGACGTCATGGCCACAGAAAGCACCGGGCCCAACTTGCAGGAATGGCTGGAAGAAGTATACTTTGATGGCCCGCTGAGTCCCGATCTCACACGAGAGGACATAGTGAGGCTGGGACAAATCGTTGGAAGATTATTGCATTTTGAGCCGTCTGCAAGAGCGTCAGCGAGACAAGTTCTTGATGACCCTTGGTTTAATGAGTGACCCCATGACAAATAGTCATTACACCATGAAGGTGCGTGTGAAATTTGTCTTCATTCAATTGTACTGTACATACCTAACAATTTTCTGAGACTTCTTCGATTTTCAAGCCTGCGTGCCGAAAATGACCTCTAGCACTCTCTTCTTTTGCACCGACCACATCAATACACCATCCAAGAAAGGCATCAAAGCCTTGATCGGGGTCTACTTCATAATAACTCCAGTTCCGTTTTAATAAAGGCTTTGAGCTCAGCGAAAAACTCTTCAATCGGATTCAAGTCCGGCGAGTAGGGTGGCAGATAGACCAATTTTACCCCTGCATCCACACACATCTGCGTCATCCGCTCTGAATAATGAAACGAGGCGTTGTCCATAACCAGAACGGATTTAGGTTCGGGCCATCTTCCGCAGTGCTGAAGAAGCTGCGCTATGAAGTCCTCGAACACGGTGGCATCTGTGGACCCGCGGAAGACACGCGAGAAAACGATTCCATCCTGGGAATACGCAGGCAGTATCTGATATCGCTGGTCGCGGTGAAATTGTGATACTTGCATAGGGGACACACCAAGTGGTGACCAGCCTGTGCGCCTGAACCCAACCCTTTTATCACATCCGGATTCATCTACGTAAACCAGCTGATACGACTGAAAATCCGATAAATTATGCAGATACCATTCTCGCAAATCGGCATTTCGCTCCCTCGCTTGCTGCCGAGTGCTCTTTTTAGACCAACCTTTGGCAACAAGGGCTCGTCTGATGCTGGAGGTTGTGACTAGGGTGCGGAATTCATCCCAGAGGAAACAGCCATCTCATCGAGGTATAAACCGGGCTTTTCAGACAGGTGTTCGCAGAGGGCTTCGATCATCAGTGGTGTTACAGTCCGTTTCCGTCCTATTCGAGTTGGGGGTGCATGCACACTTCCAAATTGCCGCAAGTTTGCGCGAATATTTATAATCGTAGCCTGGCTGCATTCTGCTTCTTCGGCCATTTTAGATGTGCCAAGTGACTGGTTCTCTATCATGTCGCGGATGAGATGCAGCTTGGATGGTGGAAGTCTCGGAGCCATTTTGTGAGGTCAATTATGACATTCAAGAGAGATAGACGGGTAAAGATGTCTCCTACTTAAAGGTGGGCGATATGGCAGAGAATTACCATTGTTTGGCATTTACGAGTAATATACACAAGGCAGGGTCCTACCTGCGTCATGTAAAATACAATGTCTATTCTTGGAAATCATGGATCTACCACTATTCCAAATGTGCACTAGCGTGTTTCAGATTAGGGTTCGCGAATCAAATCGCAAGAGTGTTGGGTTAAAACTAATTTCGAATTCTACTGTACGCTCAGTAGCCTGCTTAAACGCGGCACCAAGACATGGCACGGCGGCGGACAAAGTGGAGACTGCGAGTCTACCATTGATCTCGTCCTAGCTTCAGAAAATCTGTCGGATTCCATGACAAAATGCGCTTTACTCGAGACGGACCACGGCTCTGATCACTGCGCCATTGAGTCCGTGTTCGACGCCCAGTGGTCGAGCCCAAAGCACCATGAGCGTCTTTTACTGAAGAATGCACCATGGAAGGAGATTAACGCCCGAATTCAGAAGGCTCTAGTCTCCCTTCCGTCGGAGGGCACGGTGCAGCAGAAAACCGACCGACTCATGTCAGCGGTTTCCGAAGCGGTGCACGCTTTGACCCCGAGGGCGAAACCATCACCACATGCGAAGCGATGGTGGACAGGTGACCTCACTCAACTCCGTCATATATACACGTACTGGAGAAACCTTGCTCGCTCCGAGCGACGGGCCCGGCGAAAAGTGCCCCGGCTCGAAAAGATGGCGCAGGACGCGGCCCAACAATACCACGATGCCATTCGCAAACAAAAGAAGAAGCACTGGAACGAGTTTCTCGCAGACAATGACAACATCTGGAAAGCCGCCAAGTACCTCAAGTCGGGAGACGATGCCGCGTTCGGGAAGATTCCGCAGCTCCTCAGAGCCGATGGAACTACTACGAACGATCACAAGGAGCAAGCGGAGAGCTGATATCCAAGTTCTTCCCGTCTTTGCCAGAGAACATCGACGAGGAAGGAGTGAGACCACAGAGAGCGCCTATAGACATGCCAGCTGTCACTATGGAGGAGATAGAGCGGCAACTGTCAGCGGCCAAGTCGTGGAAGGCGCCCGGTGAAGACGGCCTACCGGCGATCGTGTGGAAGATGACCTGGCCCACAGTCAAGCACCGGGTCCTCGACCTCTTTCGAGCCTCACTGCAAGAGGGCACACTGCCAAGACAGAGGAGACACGCGAAGATCATACCGCTCAAGAAGCCGAATAAAGGTGACTACACCATTGCAAAGGCATGGAGGCCCATCTCACTCCTTGCGACACTCGGAAAGGTACTGGAATCAGTGGTTGCAGAAAGAATCTCACACGCGGTGGAGACGCATGGGCTGCTCCCGACGAGCCATTTTGGGGCCCGGAAGCAGCGTTCCGCAGAGCAAGCCTTGCTGTTCCTGCAGGAGCAGATCTATGCGGCATGGCGTGGCCGACGAGTGCTGAGCTTGATCAGCTTCGACGTCAAGGGAGCCTACAACGGAGTATGCAAAGAACGACTGATCCAGAGGATGAAAGCCCGAGGCATACCAGAGGTGTTGCTTCGTTGGGTCGAGGCCTTCTGCTCGGAACGAACGGCGAAGATGCTGATCAATGGGCAATTATCTGAGACTCAAAGCCTGCCGCAAGCTGGACTGCCGCAGGGCTCGCCCCTGTCTCCGATTCTATTTCTGTTCTACAACGCAGACCTCGTGCAAAGACAGATCGACAGTCAAGGAGGAGCAGTCGCTTTTGTGGATGATTTTACCGCATGGGTGACTGGGCCCACCGCGCAGAGTAACCGGGAAGGAATTGAAACCATTGTCAACGAGGCGCTCAATTGGGAAAAGAGAAGCGGAGCGACATTCGAGGCCGACAAGACGGCCATCATACACTTTGCTCCCAAGATGCGTAAATCGGACCATTCGCCATTCACGATCAAGGGGCAGACGGTGGTACCCAAAGACCTCGTTAAGATCCCAAAAGTGGACGCCAAACCTAGAGGCAGTACGGGCCTCAATACGATTTGCCATCGCGACAGGCCGACTCGAGGCCACCTAACCATGCCGACGAGCATAAATCACCCCTTTCACTCTCCTCTCACTCTAGCCTAACCCACCAACCACCTCGTGCTACCCACGGTGGACGCGCTTCAACTGCCGAAGATAGGATGTTGAACACTTGGAGAAACGCCTTCAAGCCAGTCTACTAACCGCATTACTAATCCACGAGCATCCGCTGCGACACTGCATGCTGAGAATGACAAATGCGCCAAGGTCTTGTGTATGGGCTCCAATGAGCCACAGAATTGTATGTGCTATGACATGTATAGTAGTTTAGCGATAGTTGCCCTTTCGGCTCAGCCGCCGGGCGTTAATGAATTGTGTGTGTGTATTGTGAGCTTTTGGTATGTAGCGGGAAACTACAGCCTAGCTTGTCCTTACCCATCTTAATCTCAGACGCGCCCAGCATCCTTCATCGTGACCAGCGATACGCTTAGTGTCCAGCCATGTCCATGTCCGAGATGGGCTATAATTTGATTTCATGCATGTGCCAAAGCACATTCCCCCTCCCAATTGTGAATGATAGGCTGTTTCTTAGCGCTTACCTGCTCTATTATTGTTTTAGCACTACCTGGATCACCTCAGCGCTTGTGATGTGACACTTCAAGAAATTACATACATAGATTGGTCGTAGGGACGCACGGGCCTTTACGCTCGGGTTGAGCGACTGGAATGATAAATGGACAGCTACACCATGGACTACGTACCTTTGAGCACAGATTTTTGTATAATGACATACGTTTCAGCACCCAATATCTTTGGATACATTCAATTACATATATCTACCACACATTCTTTCTTTTGAGGCCCAAAATCGGCAGTGAAATTAACAGGTATGAAGTGGAGACATGCAATATCGGATAGTACTAACCAAAAGGCACTTTAAGCCGTCTCCTTCGATAGCTTTTATCGCAATGACAGCAAGTTCTGGTCAAGCCGGCTCCTGCAGGAATGCAAAGTGCAACCACTGGAATGATGCACACAACAGGTACATGTCACGGTGTGAACCGTGATGCTTAGTAAGAGGAAGATCACGGCACGTGATCTCCGACCTGTTTATCTGAACTTCGGTTCTAGATCCTGTTGTAGCTCTTCGAGCTACGTCTTGTATAATAGCCTGCCCCTGCCTGTACCTGTCAATGGGAATCTGATCTGTTACGACCTGTTCCTACCAGTCATCTCCTATCATACCGTCCTGCCAGCCCGCACCCTGACAGTACACATGCAAAGAAGCGGGTTGTCGGAAACAATGGAAAATTTGTCAAACGGGCGACCACGGAATTTCCGGGAAATGGGCCATTTGCTCGAAATGCGAGGCTCACCCCGCTGGTGGGCCTGACGGCTTTGAAGAGTGGATTGATCTGACAATCTAGACACTTGAGTTCACACGGCTAAGCCATTGACTGACAAACGATTGACAACCATCCTCTTGACCGCTATCTGAATTGATATCAACATCGTCGTCATCGGAGCTTTCAATGTCGATCCAGGAATGCCGATATAAAGGTTTTTCATTTGCTGGGTACCCTGTGGATCTAAGCCAACCAAAAATCCCGCGAGTTGCAGCCTCCGAAGCTACCTGGGAAAATAGGGTTAAGCCATTTTGTATCGGGTAGTAGTTTTCCTTATGTCTCTGTGTTAGAAATTCTCCACTAAATTCCATCGGAGATATGCCGGGGTCTTCGAGTGTTTCTCCATTTGTTAGATTCCAGTTCCAAGTTTTGTACTTCAAACAGTGACAGCGGCAAGCGGCATGTTGCTGTACTGCAAGTTCAGTATCAAGAAGCCGAGTTTCTCCAAACGGTTTCCACGGATGAATGGGTGGTCTAGCATATCCATCACAGGCTGTGATAAATAGCAAACGACACTCGTCTTCCCTGCGGATCATTTGACCGTCATTACTGCCAGGTTCCACAGTAATGAAAGATTGGTGCGTTCCTGTCCAAGCCGCTGCATTGAATTCCGTGGCTGTAAGCCCGATCCGGATATTTTGTATTGTAGGGTTTGCTAGTCCCACCACATTCGCACCGAGCCAAAGGCTAGCTAATCTGGGCTGCCGATATCCAAGGACTTTGGCGAGGGTAAGAGGCTTCTCGTCCTGGACCAAAGAGTTTGTTATTGCAAAGATAGGATTGAGCCAGGCGCTAACAAGATTGCATTCAACCTCTCCGTTGAAGAAGGTACTGGAAAGTAAAGATCGCATGCCCCACACATTACAACTCAGCATCATATAACGGGAAAGAGATTCCGAGTATTCTTTCACTACATTTGATGATTTTTGTGACAGAGACGATGGCCCATAGTGCAAGGCTGGTTTCGGGACAGGAAGCGAAATGGAATCCCCGCTGAGCAATGGAATGTAAAGCGCAGCAACTAGGGCCACGGAACACTGTCCGTAAAGTCGGTGACGAGAGCAAAACCTGGCGAGATATTCCAAAGCAGCACTAGATGACGGCGGTCCTTCCTTGGAGATTGGATAACCTCCTGCTATCCCGATTTTGGCTTTATCGGAAAGAATAACAGACCAAGGTGAGCAATATGTTTTGTTTTTGTAATCTGTAGTTATTTCCCAGCCGCCGCCAGAGTGCAATATAGCCCCCCACCAAGCTACTTCAGCAGCTTCAACGTCGTGTCCTATATCAATTTCGACTGTATCATGGTGTCTGGAACCTGTTGCAAGCTGACTGGCCTTGTGCGTGAAGTTGATACTGCATTGGTGTCCCGAAGCGTGCTTCAGTGATTCTGCCCATCGCGCAGAAAGGATGTAAGCCCACGCAAAGAACAAAATGCTAATATAATTTCCCTCGTCATGATTTGAGATGCCAACACCAGGCCATTCTTGCAGGGGGGCGGAATTTGATATCTCCACTGTCAATGGGTTTGGAACAGCCAGCAGAATATCCAAAGACATTGTTTTCGGTTCGAGACAACAGTCCCCATGTGAAGTAGTCCAGGTCGAATGTCCAGAAATGAGGAGACCAGACTGTCCCCTGCTCGATTCCCTTTCTACACAACTAAAGGACAGCTCAGTGTCTTTGGAAACCAATCCATATCCAAGGAAAGACGGTGTTCTCTCGAGAAGCGATTTAAGTTCGATGGAAGAAGGTGGGAGACGAGATTTTTTATGAGCATTTGTCAGGTGGGACGACCATTCATCATAGCTTTCGGAAAGGATACGATCAAAATTTGCTTTGCTTGGACGAACGGCATCATCCATGTCAGACTCAGACTATGTAGTTGAGTCCAAGGCACTGCCGTTATGAGTCCAGTGGAGTGCTAGACAGACCAATTTGAATAAAAGATATCCAGGGATTTCGGTGCTTATGAACGCCAGACCATTTATGGGCAAATGAACGCATGAAGCTAATGATCCGGGTGTATTCAAGGAACAAAGATCGCAACACTGGCAAGTTCTGGGAGAAGGGAGGTTGAGATTGTGATTAAACTGTCGAGATGGTAGGTTAATTCACATCATATCGGCTTTCGGCTGAACTAATATCCCGAGCCCCTCCTCACGGCTGAAAAGAATCGTCACACCCACCCCCAAGCTTATCATAATCCGGCCCAACGCTGTAGTCCTACTAGCCTTACTTTGCTCCAACCACTTTCCATCTTTCAGAAGTCTACAAAGGCAATAGGAGATACTTTAGAATAGGGTTCAAGAAAGGATATCTGTGAAGAAATGGTGAAATTGATTTTGATCCATCCTGGAATTTGAATAATTGAATGGAATTTTTGGCGCGGCATAATACTGGCAGGAAATAGCGGTGGCTGAGAGGGATAACGTCTGAGACACTGTGGTGCCTGTTTTGGTCTTGTGGCACTCTCAGCGGGTGCGAGAGTAGGAAAATGCACAGACCGTAGATCTAGGCGGGGAAGGGCTCTTAGTAAGCCAATCTTTTTAGCCCTGCTATACTTCACCCCTTTTGCACGCCACCTTCAAATAACCAGTTTATTGAACGTTAGGTCACAGTTTCACCGCCCGCCAAATTTCCTCACCTCAATCTCCCCCCCATTCCAAATACATTTCAAATGGCACGAACAGAATGTACAGGATCACATTCTGTTAAAGCAATACCGAAATTGACGCATGGTTTTCCAGCCTGCAACCACAAAAAAGTTAAGTCAGAATGACCAACTAATAATGAAACAACAATACAGAACTCACAGGATTTGAGAGAAATTTTACAAATTAGATCTCGCGGGCGAGAGAACACAGATGGATTGTGAAGGAAGCGTCCTTTCAATAACCATAGATTCGAAATAGAGGCCCATGTGCACAGCATTTGATTGACACTCGACTCTTGAGGCCCGCACCGTTGTGCTTTATGCACCAAGAGTTTCTATTGGATCTCAGCCTCGGATCTAAGGAACGAAAAGACTAAATCCAGGCGGACAGCTTAAAATGAATTTCTTGACTATAGGCTTTACAGTGCGTTGCGAAACCGGTGCAACCGCCTCCACTCTTGGAGTGATTCTTCCAAGAGTCACTAGAACGCATTAGGAATAGCCCCGGAATATCAATATTCCTGTAGCGGTCTCGATACTACAATTTCTGTCGCTCAATACGGCACCTTGTCTCGTAACTGTATTATCCACCACAGGTTCATACCCCTGAAAGCTCTGCCAAGACAAATACTTATACTGTACGAACAAAAATATTCTGCCATATATTTCCGTCTTTTCGGACACATAAACCTCCTCCTGTCCCCCTCCAGGGCCATAGATTCTATTCTACCATCCTCGCATCATGTCACGGTGCGAACCGTGATGCTTAGTTAGAGGAAGATCACAGCACGTGATCTCTGACCTGTTTATCTGAACTTCAGTTCTAGATCCTGTTGTAGCTCTGGGAGCTACGTCTTGCATAATAGCCTGCCCCTGCCTGTACCTGTCAATGGGAATCTGATCTGTTATGACCTGTTCCTACCAGTCCTCTCCTATC